CTTTCAGATCAAGCAGAACTTAGCAAAGGTGCCCCATTTTCAGAAGGAGGTAGGAGCTACTTCACCAGCATGTCACCACAGGACAACCCCCTCCACGGCCAGGGGCACTGCCCAAATGACAGCAAACTAAATGAGTCGCCTGCTCCCTGTGCTGCTGGAAAAGAAATGAACAAGGAAGCAGCTACTAAGACACTCCCCCCACACAAATCCCCATCCGCCTGAAATAGTGCAAATTGTTTGTTCATCTGCTTGGTCGCCAGCTGCTTTTAGATAGTCATTAAGCTTTCCTGTGTCAGAAGAACCGGAAGAGTCAAAAATAAGCTTTTCTATAGCCAAATTGTGCATAGTGATGCCAAGCAGATCCTGAACGGCTGCTTAAGCTCATTACTGTTTCAGTAGGATAAGTTGTCTAGACTTAATATTGTAGATCTTCAGATTACTAGAAGGCAAAAATATTTACAATGCTTACCTAAGCCTTTTGATTTACCTCGCTGTTTATCTTCTTTCATTATACTTGTGCTGGAAAAATGTGTTCTCCTTTTTTTTTTTTTTTTTTTAATAAAATACCAATCTGTAAGCTATTACTCTAGAAGTCACACAGCTAATTGCCAAAGTCCAACCATAAGTTTTCTCTACTGAATGTGAAGACCTTATGATCTTCATTAGCATACCATAGGTAATCCTCTTCTGCAGAGTTTACATAAGAATTTTCATTTTCTTCTCTCAAGCATATTTTTTAACTGTTTGTAGAATTCTGCCTGTAGCTAATTAACCAACTTCAAATGATCTAAACAATTTCTCTATTAAATTGCAGGTAAGAAGACAAGTCCAATGCTTATGTTATTTTTCTGTGGATTTCAGCAGGAGAAAATGTAGTTAGGAAGCACCTTTTAAAATTCTGAAATGCCTCTAAAATCAGAGTTGTGTGCCCTCAAAATTGGGTTTAAACCTTTTAAGGGTTAGCCTGGATGGGTTACTGGGGAGGTAATAGCTACTGAAATTGAACACAACCCCATGAACTGATGTGTAAATATATGCCGCAGAAGAGGACATAAAAAATTTGAGTTTTGGGGAAGACAGAGACAGAATATAAGCAATTATGCAAAGAAAAGCTGAGTCACTTTTTTCACTAGGTAATCAACAACAAATCCTTGATTCTAGAAAAAAATAGAGCAAATTTGGTTATGGTTATTTGACAACTGGGATCTAAATGTCAGTTTTATTGATTGCATTGGGTATATTTTTTTTTATTTGGAGGAGGAGGATTTTGCTCCCTGTTCCTTTTCATTTAGGGACAGGGACAGCTTCAGCTTCACTGAATTGAATAAATGTCTTTTAGCGAGACCTTGATCTAGCCCTTATTCTCCACAAATGGGTTGTTTTTGCTAACCTAAAAATGGCAATTAAGGAAAAAAAAAATTAAAATGCAATTAATTTATTGGATTTCTTGCATATTTATCAATGAAGTAAATATGCATTGTAAACTTCTACGTCAACAAGGACTGTATCAGTGGGCTTTGATAGTTACATTAACCTTAGAAAGCATTTTTCTCTTTCTGAAGAGAAATACTAATTTTAATAAGGGTATGTTAGCTTATTTCCTTCAAAGACACTATTTAAAAGGTGGTCATATTTTAAGGATCTGGCTTTTATTATCACTCTATCCCAGGCTAGTATACTACATAGGTTAAAAAAACACATGAAATGATTTTGTGTTTATATTTATTGTCAGCAATACATCAGTTATGTAAAAATAACCCAGATGAAAATGTAAGACTTGTTACATTTTCATATATCTGTATTAACTGAATAAAGCTTAGTGACAATATTCACAAATTTGAAGTAGTTGTACGTAAACATTTTGTGCATTAAAAAAGAAATATACATAATTTAAAAATAAAAATGCATTACACAATTTACAAATTAACATTAACCAAAAAAAAAAGGTAAACATTCCTCAGACAGCTGCCTCCTTGTTCTACAAAATAAATATTCAAGTAAATTAAGTTAGGCAAAATAAACTCTTAACTTTGGGTAAGCACAATTTACATAAGGTAAAAGGACAGATTTCCATATCATTCAAGGTATATTTTACAGTGATTTATACACAGAGGTTTTAAATTTGTCTCTTCAGATTGTAATATTGGAAAACAAACATTATTACATTTTGGCAGGAGAAGGGAGTTTCAAAATTGATGTTTTATACCAAATATAAACAAGCTAGAGCAGTTGCACCAAAGTATCAAAAAGGAACTGCTCCAGGACTCAAAGCAGACACAGCAAGCTAGAAACTACAGATTTAAAAAGGAAAATACAAACCACCACATCAACAGGAAAATGTCTACTTTGCTATTTTCTGAAGGGTTTTTTTGATCACTGGAAACGTTACTTTCACAAACTAACAATCTACGGTAGTGGCTGCTTTAGGCACTGGATTTGTAGAAGCACTCTGATTTTTAAAGCAAATTGCTTCTCATTTGAAACTGAAAATTCATCTATTATTTGTTTCTGTTTCAATGCTAATGGGCTGAATTACCTGTGCAACTTTTAGCTTTACATACAATTTCAGCCCTCCTTATAGCCTAATATTTTGTTCTTGACGAGGGAAGTCATCCTGGCTTGAAATGTCCATGCACTCTGTTCATTAAATAAAAACAATAAAAATGCACTCTAGATTTTAAATGCAGCACTAGTGTGATGCAGATGTGCACCAGCAAAATTCACTGACTGGATAGAAAATGTAGCACGTACCACAACACTTGCACGGATTTCAAAGGCCAAACATCAGTAAAAGAACCTCCTATCTCTTTTTTTAATTTGTCCAGTTTATATAGTGAGAAAAAGGAGATGGCATACCTTTAACTTCAAGTTATTAAATTCTTAGGTTCAGGACATAAAAATCTTCAAGGCAAGAACTAGGTAACAGCTCCTGCTAAGACCAGCCAGCATAATAACGATGACGCATTGCCAATGAAAGAAACCCTGTTCCGTCAATTCCCTATTGGTCCAATACTATTTGACAGCACAGAATAAGACTTTTAAAAATACAGAAATCATAATTAAGCTTTGTGTCTTCACATGATAGTTACCGTTCTTTAAAATTTTATACCTTTGCCACATTATATTTTGTATGTCTGACAAAATAGGAATCAACTAGGTTTTTCTTATTTTCTACTCAAGAATGCTGAAGTAATTAAATTAATCAAAATTTGTTTTTTTTTCCTATGGATCTTTACAAAGCAGCATAAGACTGAAGCCCCCAATCCTGCAACACGTATACAAATGAACAACCGCTGTGGCAGGGGACCGTGGCACGTCACCAGCTGCAGCCGGATAAAGGTATAAAATGAGAAATTAAACCTGTACAAAAGATTGTTACTATTGTTCCTCTCTGCTCATCGTTCCCATTTGGGGAATACTTCTGCAGTGGGAGGAAGATTATTTTCTCGGTGCAGTAACACCACGCTGGTAATGTAAGTTAGCTAAGTTAAAGTAGGACCATGATCTCTCTTGAACATTGTACACAATGCACATTGGTTCCAAGAATTATTCTACATGGAACAAAAGTAGGTATTTTTAAGGGCTCATGTTACCCACTGATGTCCACGAGAGCCTTGTCATCAGTTTCAGTGGATCTGGGCCAAAGCTGCAAAGCTACGGTTTTATTCAGTGTGCAAAAACTGGTGCTTCTTGAGTAAATAGCATGATGAGTAGGCAGAAACGGTTTAGGTTATAAAAAAGACCTGAGAACCTAATACTGAATTTTATATAACAATTATTTTTGAGAGGTTGCCTGATAAAGTTTTGTATTGCTTAGTAGTGGCACAATCACTTATATGTTCAGGTGACACATAGAAGCCATTTGATGAGAATAACCCTTCTCAGGTCATGAATCACATCTGTAACAGGAATGTAGATACAGTGGCAAGTCAATGAGCTTCATGTTGGAAGTGTAACACTGAAAAGCCATAAGCATGGAAGAGGTTAACAGTGAGTTTATGTACTGCCAGACTTTTTAAAAAAGTCACAAGTATTCAAATGGCAGAACTATTGATCTTATTGTTTACTTGCCAGTACACTCAAGAGTTTAACTGAATAATTAAAGAGTCTGTCCAATTATCCTAATTAGAAAAGATGGAAGGGCAGAGTATTGCACTGTCAGCAACAGTGAAAATGCTCTCACTAGCAGAAGGAAAAAAAAGCAAAACCATTTTATTGTAGTTGAACAAACAATCAGAATACCTTTTTAGACATGTATGTCACTTGACTACAGGGCAACCACTTTTCTTTTTCTTTTCTTTTTTTTCTAACAAAGTTAACAAATATAAAAAATCTAGTCATAAACAGCCTTCAAAGTACAATTAGAAACCAGCAGGACAATCTACACCAGTATAGGTAGACAGGGCAAGAAACTAGACACTTGTATTACTGCCATGATATAGACTACAAATGGCCGCTGTGACGAGGAACGGTGTGTACAGTATGCGTCGTCAGCTGATTCCATCCAGTCGCAGTCCAGACCGAATGCTACTCTCTTCAGGATTCAACACCTGTCTACTCGACACTCCGTGCACAAGATACATCATCATTCTTTCTGAAAAGAGGCAGTTTCTATGGCAATACTAGTTAAGTGCATACCATGCTGCACTAATATAGTGCAAAAATTTGCCTTACTTGTAGCAAAAAAGATGCAGGCAACAGTTTGAGTTAGAGGAAGTAGAAACATATTGTAACATTTTCAATGGGTATCCTTTTCCAGATAGCAACTGCTAGAAAACACTGAATCCGAGAATACCTCCTTTCTGGATGTACACGAGGCCTTTATACTTCGGAGTGATAACAGGACAGAACTTTGCAAGTGAGTCATTGCCCTCTGAAATGCAGGTTAACACAAGTTATCATCAACTGGCAAACTGTGGAACTTGCTGAATGGGTTAAACACAGTTAAAAGTTAATATTGTACTAAGCACTTAAAATGCTCTTTAACAAGTATATAATCTGATAGAGTAATACATATGGTTCAACTGAGTATATATGTTATGCCTGAATGTAAAGAGTCATAGCTTGGTACAAACTCTTCATGCATACTGATTATACTTGGTTAATGTTGCAGGGGCTTCCAACTGTTAATACTATGTCAGCCACAGTATTCTGGAGACACAAGTGGTACTTATCATTTGTAAGACTGAGGAAAGACCACAAATCTCCAACCGCAGTGTCTATTAATGTGATTCTGCCAGATTTCTCAGTGCTGATGGTCTAAAGTAAAGCGGTAACACCTTGAATATCCGTAGGCGTTACGAAATCCATCCTTCTTTATCTATGGTGCAATTACAAAAAAAGAAAGAGTCAAAGCGCTTAATCCACTCCATAGAAAATCCCTGTGGCTTTGGATACCTTCTGATTTTAATCCATTAATTTAGACTCCATTTGTCACCATGGGAAATTATATTTTACATATCTGCATCTCCATCATAAGCCAAGGTTAAAGGTTTCAGTCGGTTGTTCTGCCTTCTCTGGGGCTTCTTTGGCTTTTTGCTGAAACAATAAGATAATTTGTAAATAGAACAAGAAACTAATAACATAGCAAAGATGGACTTCAGTCTTAAATGAAAGATGAGTGTGTTGTTTTAAGATAATGCATTTGGTTGTTCATTTGTAAAAGCTATATTGGATCAGTAATTATCTCTTTATCAACCCAAAGCAACATCTAACTCAAAGTTCAGTTCTTCAGAAACAGGCTGTTATGGCGCTGATGTGACTTGATGAAATCCTTGGCAGGTAATCCTGCAAGATCAGTCAGTATTCAGAAGAACCTAGAGCCCGCAGTGCAATATTTGGCCATGTATCAAAGCTCCAGTCAGGCTCTTTTAAATTATAAGACTCAAATCTTAACCTCTCTTGACTCATCAAGGGTTTCCACAGGAAAGTTCCATCTTTTGATTAGTTTAATCTCATTATACTTGCTGGAATGACTACAGTTAATTCTAGATGTTATAATTAAACGAGTCATAAATAGCAGGGATATAGCTGTTAGCCATAGCCATTCCCTGTCTAGCCTTGAATTAGATTTTAATCCAGCAGTATTTCCAATCCATTTGATATAGTTTTAAAAAATCACCAAGCCAAAGGAAAATGCGTGTTTATGCATGTTTTAGTACTTGTCTTCTTTTAGACTGTAACACATGTATTTCTTTAAACCAGGCCTCTGCATCCTCAGTCTCGTCCAAAATCTTATCTCAGCTATGTCACTTAGGCTGCTCAAATCTAAATCTTTGTTACCAAACCAGTTGTTACAGTGGCTTGCAGTGGCCACAGATTCCAGTGCGAAGAATTTGCAGGGGAGTTGTATGATAATGGATTTTCTTTTACTCAAAAAATAAAAGATTTTTTCCTTACTTAGGCAGAAGTGAGATCTGGGGGGAAGTTTACTAAAACCCAAACAAATCTAGAAGCCCCCGAAATGCCTACTAACACAGTACAGCCAAGAGCGTGATGTGTATGACCACACCTCCCTCACCTTCCACCTTCACAGTCATTTGGATCAGAAATTCCAAACAGGGCCTAAAAAATGTTGGGGAGAGCATTCTCAAAGATGTCTTATTCTTGCAACAAATCTTTGCTTTCACATGCACTAAGATTTTTCAACAAAATATTGTTTCATGTATGAAAAACACACGAGAAAGTTTTCAGACGTTTTTTGGTTGTGTATCTCTATATCCTGACAAATATAAAATCTGACTTGCCTGATTATTAAATTTCCTTATTGTTCTTTCTCTCTGCATTTTGTGATACAGATGCAATGAAATTATCATGGACACAGCACATTCTTAACAGAGATAAACTGAATAAAACAAAACTATACACTAATCTACCCCATATTTGTAAGAAGTTGTTCTAACCTCAGGAGAGCATGTGTTTATCCTTTATCTAGACTACAACCAGAGTCCACTAACCTGAGCTTGGACAAAAGGACATGGAAAATTAAACACTGTAGTTCACAGAAGTGTCTGCAGTATCTACAGCGGCAAATGTAAATGCTTGCATTACAGTCTGTGTGGGACTGCTTGTTTGTAAATAATTAAAGAACTCACCAGGCTAGATAGATCATAGAAACAATAAAGATGAGTAAAACAAATGCACCAGCAGCTACACCATAAACCCAGGTCTTCAGCCTCCCATCTAAAAGGAACGAATGTTAGTCAGTAGTGTTTGAGTTAGTCTTGTTCAATGATTAGTTCCAATGTAGTATAGAAATACTTTTATAATCCAAAATAAATGTCTCCACTAGCAATTATAGCTTAATAAGAGTAAATATTATTAAACAACTGAGCAGTAACTTCTCTGTGCACTTGAGTTCTGCTTTTCAGCTGAAGTCTGGATAATTCAAACGGAGCCAAGATGTGGGGCAGAGGTAGCGAGACCCCCTCAGAAACCTAGCCCCTGCGCCTGCTGGTAGCAGGCAATCCTTCAGCATGATCGCAGGGCACTTTATCAGCCTAGAACTCATTTATGCTATTAGCACCACTTTCCATACTACCTCCACTAAATCAACCTGCCTGTTATGTTCATTCTTGTTGCTATGAAATATCTTTAGCATGTTTTACCTCATCCACACATTAACTGCATATACACAACTTTTACTAGTGCATAAAGTAGTAATTTTCCAATTTCTTCCCCTATAAATGCAAGTTTTGTTGTTATAAGCCAACTTCCCTTCATGGAACACACCAAAAAAGACAACCCTTGTTCATAAATAGAACAACTGTCTGTTAAGAAGGACAGTATTTACGTGCAGCCTGTGCAGTCTGTATTTTGGACATGATGTCCCTGCAGGCTGAGGTATACATCCCACTCTCCTGTTGCTTTCATCCTAGATGTACCCACTTCTCCTACGAAAACGGTGTGACTTGCTCTTTCTGTGGGGTTTTGCTCTGAACCCCAAACCAGCATGTCACAACCCAAGGTCAGTTCATGCTCTTTGACCCACTACTTTTATCTGACTCTTTTTGCAAATTGGCTTCCTGAAAGCATTCTTTTACAGGAGGTTAGCTAGCCTTGTTGCACCTCCTTGACAATGAAAATTCCATAAAAAGGCCGAATTATTTCATTTACAAGGGGGAAAATTTTTATTCCATGAAGTCATGTATTTTCAATGTAAGCAAACACAGCTAAAATTTTTCTGACCAAATACTTACTGCTTCCTGATACCTCTGTAGGAAAAAAAGGCATTATCAATGCAGTTGATGTTTTTACAACAACATAATAACAAAAATTAGTTAGATTAACTTTCCTCAGATTCACAGTAGCCCTCTCAGTTGCTGTGTAGATAAGTTCAGGCTTTCTGTTCTCTAGCAGTGTAAAGTCTTGCAGTCATGCGGACAACTTGTTCAAGACTAATTAATGTAAAAATATTTTAGCTTCATTAATCAACCTAATGAAAATTATAACTTATAATAACTGATCCATTAAAGATGGATTGAACAGTATATTTGACCTGATGTAACCAATGATATGATAATACGAATGAGAGGAATTCAGACCAGTACTGTTAAATGGGTCAGTTTCTTCTCTCCTTGGCTAATTTCCATTAGTAAATGTAAGGGGTTTCGGGTTGTTTTGGGTTTGCTTGTTTTAAAATAGTATTATCACCTTGAAAAAAAAGACTGGCATTACCTTGTGTATGGATTTATTTGTTTTTGTCAAAGCAGGGAACTCTGTTAATGAGGTCATTAATATTATGCAACTTTCTGAATTCCCCTGGGCAGATTATTCCTACATATGCAAGAGAATTGGCACCTCAAACTCATCTGTTTTGGGTAATACATCAGTACAGGCACCTGAAGGCGATAGTTTAAATACCTTCCTTTCTGAAACTGCAATAGAATTTGTTGAAGACAGTGAAACAACTATTAAATCTAGACTCAGAAACTGTGAGGAAAGGAATAATTATGCTAGAGTAAATCAAAACCTTTCCAGTAGTTAACCAATCTTAGAATTAAAACAATTATCAGTCTTATCTGAAGTGCAAAATATTCACTTTCTTCCACATTTGCTCATACCTTCACCAAATAAAGTATTAGTTCTTTTGAACACCATTGCTTTTATCTGAGCTGAGCTGTTTCCTTTCTAACTTGAACTGCTGGAAAATTTGTGAGTTTTCATGAAATCTCTCAACTGTTGCTTGCTCTAAAAACCATATCTGAGCTCACATGAGCACTCAGGATCCTAAATAGTTGAAGGCAACTGTCCGACATTTGCTTATTGTCGGCACTCTGGCTGCTACAACTCACCCTCTGGCATTTTCAGGTGGAGTTAACCAGAATGAGTAAAAGATAATATACTCAGTAAGATGCTAAAGGAGGACCAGAAAAGCTTAATTTTCGTTTTTTATTGTGGATTAAAGTATTAACTAACTAGACCAAAGACCATTTCGTTGCAGGTATCAAATATAGTATCACAGTACAAATCACAGTAAATACTAGTAGGACTAAAGGGATCTAACATAAGTATTTCTAACCCAAACCTGATTTAATCTGCTTATTAAAAGTATCGCTGTAGTTCTCAATTTGCAACATTTTATGGATTATGCATATAAAGATACTGTTTTCAATTTTCAGATTAAAAACATTCATAGAAGATTCAGAAAGAAATGAACAATTTAAGACACAAGTGTGTTAGAATATTTAGCTCTATGTAATTTAAAAGACACTTAAGAAGATAACCAATTGCTCTCTTAATATAATTAACATTTTGGATGAGCATGAAAGTAATTTGTCACTTATAATTTTATTTATCTCAATGCTTAATAGTACCAGGAAATATTTACTGAAACCAATTACATGATGGATTTTATATAAAGAAATTCTGATGGGATAACTCTTGCACGTAAGTCCATGCTCAGCTCTAAAGAACATGGTCCATCATAAAAGCAAACATTGCTATAGAGATTTAGAGCATGTCTATGCTAAACGTAAATAATATGGTTAGGTCTTGTCTAATATGAATTAGTTTAAATATGGATATGGAAGCAAAGCATTAGCATATTTATACCAATGTTTTCCTACAATTTATGTTATGGGTGCAAATTTTAAGCAGCCCTTACCCTCCGCAGTATTCAGTGCTACCTTTTCATTCCTCTGTCAGCAGCATTATTGGTTGAGACAGCATAATGTAATATCCTGGCTTGCAATTTTGCAGCCATCTCCCTTCTAAACTCACATTTCAAATAGCTTCTGTGAATTTTAACAAGTAGAAGGGATTAAAAGGAAATCTTCTGCAACTCAAGATTAAATATATTGATGGAGTAGCTGAGAAAGCCAGGGGTTTGCTTATGTCTCTTCCTTTATTTTCAGTCAGAGCAGATGCCTGTCTTCTTAAATGAACACTTAAGGGTTTTTCTTCCTTGGCATCACAAAAACATAAATGCCAGACCCTGCAGCAGTACTTGTCATTAAGGACTGCTCATTGCATGACTTCACCTGGCCCAAAAGGCTGTAGAAACCAGGTCCTTCCTCGTCCTGACTGGTTACTGGAGGGCTGGGTAGGGTTCACAGCTCGACTGGTTTTCACATCTCCCTTTTTGTCCGCCATGGTGGGGATCACCACCACTGGGATGAGAGTGCACTGTTCGAGTGTGCCATCGGAGGACATAACTTCAGTGTATCCGTCTTCACAACTGCATGTTCTAGTCTGTAGGGAACAAGTGTTTTACACTGTGTAGCAGAAAAACACAGTTTTCTGTAAGCCATAAAGCATAACAACATGGATGATTGGAAGAGAAGACTGTTTTGATGAGTGCTAGCCCAGAAAGTACCTCTTCATATATTTTTATGCAGGTTTGTACCAAATCGAGATTATTCAACATTTAATTGAAAGGTAGACAATGGTCTGAAGTTGATTTTAACAAATTTACAATTAGCAAAATCTCTGAAAATACTTTTTGTTGGCATAATCTTTCTAATGCAGAGAGATGTGTGGGAAGCCCTCACGGGGGTGCTTTATGCTCCAATGCAGTAGCACATACCTCACTGCAGTAAGCGTGGGGTTGACTGCACGGTGGGTTACATGACCTGTCAGCATCTGGTTGGCGCATCACTAAACAGCCCCCTGTAGGACAGAAAATCATATTTTGACAAGGTAATACCTCACCACTCATGAAATTATTGATGTCATTACTTGCTACAGTATGTCATGGATTACAATTTTATTGCTAATTTGAATTTAAGAGTCCTTCCCTTATTCATAGGTCAAAGATAGTTGGTATTAACTATTTTCTTATAGGTAGAGTAAGGAAACAGCACATGTATTTGCATTCATATGCATTTTAGAGAACAAATATTTGGCAAGTGAAACTTTTGTTTTTCCCTTTGTTCCTTTGGTGGATTGCTCAAAAATGAGTTCAAATGTTTTGTTATGCTTTAGGGAAAAGATTTAAAAGTCCTCTAGGGCCCTCCTTATGACTTACATATTAAAACTGTGGCCACAAAGAAAATAAAAGTGTATTTTTTGTTTATATCTTTGCCTGTTACTCTGAAAACAAACTATTCATCCAGTTTATGAATGGATACCTGTTTTCTGCTGCTCCTCAGTGGTCATTTTTACACATGCTATAGCTTTGCCTCTTACGAAGCCACACTTCATCCTAGTCTAAGACAGATTGTTCGGAAGGAAAGAAGTATTATAAGAAAAGCATGTACAGAATGCTATGATATTGATGAAATAGTGGGCTTCATTCTTTTTCCTTTTTTACAGAGTCCTTGTTCTCATTTCTACTGCTTTATGTACAGTGCAGTTATTGTTATGGACCAATACACACAATCAGGCTTTCATTATCATTTCAGCCAGAATGCCTTCAAAATACGTTTAGAACCAGTTTGAATTTACCTGGGTTTCCTTCTAACTTATAGAAGAGGTACATGCTTCATATAGTTTAAAATTTACACTGCTACAGGATGACTTATCTTGCACCTCCCAAATTAATAACATTTTCATACTGGTGTGATATGATGATGAAATCCTGATAGCTGAGGTTGGTCACAACCATAGCATATGCAGTTAGATGTGGTTACGCAGATCCAAGTGTTAATGGGATGGCCAATGAAGAACAAAGAAAACCCTGCTGGTTGCCATAAGTTTTCCCCACCCCCAGAAAGAAAAATTGTACATCCTAGCATACAAATCACATGCCTGTGGGAATCTATGTAATAAAATATGAGTCATCCAAGGAAGCTGCAGAAGGAAAGAGTTGCCTCATCGCCCACGGGAAACAACACCTTCAAGTAAAAAAGAACTATTCAGCATAATAATATTATGCAAGTAAGTAAATAAATAAAGGCTGTAAAATACCAACAGGAGTCATAATAAAAATTTGATAATGTCAATTAAAACACATTATGTTAGAGCCAAATGTGCCACAATAAGGCAGCAAAGAAACACAGTAATCAGAGATATGGGTTGATTCTAGATCAAAATAGGTAATCTCCATATACATCAATCATGTATGTGCATCTATCAGTTTGAGCTCTTAAATACTGTGGTTTATACAAACGACTTTACAAAAAACATTCAAATGTAAATTACAGTCTGGTTCATGACTGCATACTTCACGTAGAGAAGTTCTAGCAGAACACTAAAACACTTTGAAAACTATCAGAGGCATATAAAAAAAATACAGTTATGCATTGCATGCAAACTGATGATTATATTTTCTGGAATTTTCCACCAGTCTTCATTTCAAACTAGAAAGTTATGACAGCTTTAAAACCACGTACAAACAAACTCTGAAAAAAGAAACACACTTTAGGTCTGAGGTTAGTCTGCCTAGAAGGTCCGTCATGAAAAATCTGCCAACACGTATTCATACACTCGTCTTTCCTGGAATTTATCACATAGCTGTATCCAGTCACATCAGAATAAACTACTATTTTAATATGACTGACTGTCATACATACTCTGATTTTAACATCTCAGAGCCATAATCACCAAGATCCTATTTATTTTTAAATCCTGTAGGACCTTTAATTGATAATATCATCTATTGTCCTCAATAAGAATTCTTACTTAGAGTTTTACTTACCATGCAACCATCTTCTCTAGGCAGGAAGCAATCAAGACACATAAATAATGCCCTATTGCACTCGTGGAGATGATGCATTTTAATATTCTTACAGCACAAGGTGGCACTTGCAAAAGAGACTTTGGGCTATTAAGTATTATTTCAAAACCTTGTAAAAGTAATACAGATATTTTATTTCTACTGTTACAACAGCCAGTAGCGGTGGATTCCATCACCAAGAAGTATTGTATTGGTAGCCCATGAATTAGAGCTCCCTTCCTGTGACTGACTTGACAGTGGCTGGCATTGAGGATGTGCTTACAATCTCTGGGATTCTTTTACTGTCACATGGGCTGATATAAAAATTATTTACACAAAAAGTACATAACTCTTAGCTTAAATGAATCCTAATTTTGATAAATAAATGCATATAAATACATAGACATGAAGATTTTCTTGAATTCCAAGACCTCAGTCGTTCTTAATTCATGGTGTTTTGTGGTTTGGTTTGCACAACAAGTAACTAAATCCCACAGCTGTCCACTGAAATATCCTGCTATAGATCTATGCCATTGCAGGGAAGAAATAAACTTGTATTAGCACATTTATTAAATTTGAAATTTTATAATTTTAAGGACATATATGATATATGCATGATCTTATCAAGCTTTGCATCTCTCTCTGTCTCTGTATAGGCACTGAAATGAACTTCAGTACATAGAAATTCTATTAGTTGTAGGGCTTGAAATCTGAAGCCCTAAATTTAGAAGTGTAAAGCCGTCTATGGTAAAAAAAATATAAAATGTAAAACATTCCAGGTCCAGTACAGAAGATAATATTTATATTTACTTTCAGCATTATGTTACGGGTTTGCACAGCAAGGTTTTGGTAGCAGGGGGGCTGTAGGGGTAGATTCTGTGAGAAGCTGTGAGAAGCTTCCCCCATGTCTGATGAAGCCAGTGCCAGCCGGCTCTAAGACAGACCTGCCGCTGCCCAAGGCCCAGCGAATCAGTGACAGTGGTAGCTGCGGGGGGACGGGAGGGGTCCCTTGCAGCTCGTGATGAAGACCATGGTGAGGCAGATTGTCCCCCTGCAGTCCATGGAGGTCCACAGTGGAGCAGATCTCCACCTGCAGCCCATGGAAGGGACCCCACGCCAGAGCAGGTGGATGTCTGAAGGAAGCTGTGACCCTGTGGGGAGCCCCGCGCTGGAGCAGCCTGTTCCGTGGAAGGCATCCACACTGGGGTGGAAGAGCTGCAGCCCGTGGGAAAAACTCACATTGGAGAAGTTTGTGGAGAACTGTCTCCTGTGAGAAGGACCTCACGCTGGAGCAGGGGCAGAGTGTGAGGAGTCCTTCTCCTGAGGAGGAAGGAGCAGCAGAGACAATGTGTGATGAACTGACCACAACCTCCATTCCCCATCCCTCTGCGCTGCTCGGGGGGGGGAGGAGGGAAAGAAATGAGATTGACGCGGAGCCCAGGAAGAAGGGAGGTGCGGGGGGAAGGTGTTTTAAGGTCTGGTTTTATTTCTCACTATCCTACTCTGATTTGATTGGTGATAAATTAAACTTTCCTTTTCTCCCCAAGTTCAATCTGTTTTGTCCGTGACAGTAAATGGCGAGTGATCTCTCCCTGTGCTTATCGTGACCCTCAAGCCCTGCATCATATTTCCTCTCCCCTGTCCTGCTGAGAAGGGGGAAATGATAGAGCAGTTTTAGTGGGCACCTGACATTTATCCAGGCCAAACCAAAACACATTACTTGCTGCATAATTCTGGAAAAGAAATTGCATCTCTAATACGCAAAAACATGATGATCAAGACAAGAGCATGTTGACTCATACATCAGGAACATGTGGTTTTAGCAGATTCTTTTTTAAAAAGGTATTTCCATTTGTCGGGAAAAGACATTATCCACCTGTTTGCTACGCTTTTGTGTGTATACAAAAAGAGTAGTTACCTGTGACGTTTAAACCATCTGACCTTTGGCACCACACAGTTCGAGAAGATCCCTTCCATGGGCTAGCCATCCACTTGTATTCATAGCACTGGCCATCTACACAGAGAACATTGACTTTTCAAGAAATGTGATGACATGATTTTAGGCTACCACTGACAGCAGCCACACTCATCAGTGGACCATACTCATTATGTTTAACTGCTTTTATGGCTAAATAGGCCACTTCCTCCTTCATCCAGTAACTTAGAAGGGTGCACTGCACACATGCAGACCCCAAGGTCTCCTGCACTCACAGGATACATACAGAATAGATGAGATGTGTCCTAGACATTAACTATAAGTACACACTGCTTATGGAGTAAGCCTAATGTAATGGGTAAAACAGATGTTTCCAATAACCTCATAATGGTTGTGGCCCATCTATTGCGCAAAACTCATTTAGGAGTCAGGTTTCTTTCCTGGTAACATTGAGCTTCAGTCAATGCTCCAGTGAGCATTGACTGCATGTGGCTTCATGCCCCAGCTCTGCTGTACACCTCTCACATGGGTTGAACGTCCATGAAGTCCTTCTGCACCTTATCTCCCTTATAAATATAAAATTCCTTTTTGCCTGATCTGTCTGGCCTCCGAATGGAAAAGAAATGTCTGTACAGGAAATTACTGTAAATTAGAAACTAATTAGAAATTAGATACTTTGTCCAGTACCAGCAGTAAGCATGACTGAGACTTTTTAATGTCATTGTCATGTGATTAACAGCAATTTAAAGGGTAGAAACAAATCTAAATTTGGTTATGTATCAAAACTTAAAGATTTCTTTTTATGAATGTCATCAAGCAGATAAGGCAAATATTTTTTCCTGTATCATAAAATGAAATTTCATTATTAAAAAAGGATCATCAATTTTTCAAAGCTTGTGTTTAAAGTGGTAACGTATGATAGCTAGCATTTGAAAGTTTTTCTGTGTACAGTTGATCTCTAGAAATCAAAAATTTAAGTGCATTTCTACACCTATCAAATCTTTATTTGCATAAATTTGATAACACGAACAGAAAGAAAACAAAACTATTGTTATTCTATATCTTTTTATTACAGGAACTAGCCTTATGTGTATTTTGGTGCTTACCATTGCATGGTCTTGTTTCCAAAGCCTGTTCTGGACAGAGATGTTGATTCTCTAATTCCTGAATGATCACTGCCCGAGATCGGACTTGAATTCCTCCGAAGCCGAGATCCTCACCATTAACACAGGTTAGCTGACAAAGGCTCCATTCTGACCACTCTCTCAGGTAACAGTCCCCTGTCAAATAGCAATTTCATAAGATGAATGATCATGATATGTGAAGTGGTTTTTGCACTGAATATGTCTTAGAAAAAAATGTCCAAATCCAATTTCGTAATTTTCCCTCTTTATAGTTTCTTTCCTTCCTCTTTTTAAATGTGACTCATATTTAAGAGAAGATAATGTTTTGACACTCTCTGAATATCTGTGCAGCAGAAAATCGTGATAAAAAGATTATACAAAAGCTTATTTATCCTAAAACAGGGTAGTTTCCTGTAGTAGTCCCATAATATCACTCTTCTTTCGAATTTCTGAGCAGCATTACACCTAGTGTCTAGATTTTTGTAAATTTTAGGGTATTGTGCACTGTATGCCTTATGACAAATTTATATATCTTGTTCACAATTCTTCTTTCATCTTAGAAAGAGAAAACATTGTCTAATTATAAAAAGATTAATTGTTGCTTCTCCTCATGCAGAATTTCTCTAAACAGAGAGTAGAAGCAACTGCTGGAACATTCTTTGCAAGAAAGGGAAATGAGAAGGTGATTAAAAAAGTCTGCTCTGGCTATTTCACGTTAGGATAATAGAGATTTGTAGAATATTATCTTATAGTGAAAAACTGAAAAATAAAATTATACTAACGACACTTATTAGCATGATTGGCTAAAGAACATTTAAGGAAGATCTGAAGCCCAACACAAAAAGACCATTTTGTTAAAACCGCAGTAGAAAATGGGACTAGACTGTGCACTGACTCATAAATAAAGCTCTTAGTTCTCATTATTTCAGTGAAAGAGCTATTAAAAATTCATGCTACCTTGCATTATACTGATGACAGATATAATCAGTACTGTGTTGACCAGATGCCTGATTAATGAAGGAATTTTATTTGCCAACGTTAGGAAAGCATGCAAAGAAATGAATAATTGAAGAACTGATGTATACGTAATAGGAAAACAAGTAGTGATTTTTGGAAACATTAGTTGGAGCGTATCATTAGCACATCCCCACAGGGCAGTTATTCTTGCTGGCTAAACATGAGATTGTTGAAGCACAGGTTCCTGCTCAGCAAAATTTTAAAAGCGAGCAGTAAACAGATATATTTTTTTGTTATAAATTCGACTAACAAGAAAACATAACTACGAGCTTTTTATTCTTCCAGTTTGCATTTAATAAGTAAAAATATGTGAAAATCATGCCATTGGAATGCTGTGCACAAAGCAGTGATGGAAGTCTCTCTGTTTATGACTATTTTCCATCTATTGAGGTAACATTACCTTCAGTCTGATCTGAAATGAACTGGAAAAAAATTCTGAGAAAGAGAAGAGTTGCAAGACAACAAAAAGAGTACTGGTATGAAATGATAGCTACATTAGAAAGGAAGGACCTAATCACTACTTGTGAAGACACATCACTAATGACTCTACTAAACAACAGCAATACACTTCAAATTCTACAAAGAAGTGTTTGAAATGAACTGGAGGGGTTTTACTGGAAATTAAACAGCTGTTACAGGCTCTTAATCCTTCTCAGTATGAGGGTCATGGACCTGATCATTTACAAGAGCTCCTTTGAAATCAGTCTACAAGGGCAATGATAGTGCATGTCACATCCAGTGAGTTAAACAGCTAGAAACACTCACATTTTCTCAGAGATCAACATATTAGTTTCATTTGGAATAGCCCCTTTAAACAAAAAAAAAAAGAATCCCTCGCTTTGCTTCCTTTGACACCCATAAAAGGCATCAAGTTCTTAGCCACTGTTAAAAGTATTAATAAAGCTGTTAGGTGATCTAAGCACTTAAAGCAAATATTTAGCTGTACACCAACACTCTTTCTTATAAAGTTAAACAGAGGTTTTATTTCAAAAGATTTTGTGAAAAAATATATTCTTATTAGGTACAATCTGTGACTGAGACATGTCTTTTATAAAATTTAAAACATGGTATTTTTCCTAATTGATTCATTGACATGAAGCCACTACTGGAAAGTAACACTGTTAGGTCATTTGATGGATGAATCCAATCAGTAGAGCATGTGAAAAAGAGTTAATTACCTGTGGCTAATGCTAGGCACTGATAACTGTAATGATAGCCAACCAGTCTTGAAATGCAAACATTTATTTGAATAGCTTTGTTACCTGGACAAGGGACAGTGCAGGTTTCCTCAAGTATCATCTTCTTATTACCGTCTATAATAGGTTCTATTTCTCCACAGAATTCCTCATCTACTACTTTGCCAACATCTTCAGCGGAGCCATCAAAAACCACACAGGAAATGTTCCTCACTCGTGTTCCCTCCCCACATTGAGCATCCTGGGGAAGGAGGACATACATGGATGCTGGACAGAGGAAAGTGTCAAAAGACTAGATCTGAACTGTATGTCACTTTGTCTCCTACTATTTTTTGCTTAACTACTTATCCATTCCAGTAGGGGAAGAAAAAAAAAAGACACTGTCCTTTACTTCTGAAACCAACCAATCAACCGACCAAAAATTCTTCTAGCTGCTACCACTGTTTCTTAAAGTATGGAGCTAATTATGCCTTTGAATTGAAACCAAAGTAGTACCTCAAGTGGAGACCTCTTCTAGGATTCCAATCTATTTCTACAGATTTTCTTTTACAATGCAGGGATTTCAATTAACAGGAAAGATGCTGTTTACAGTGTTACAAAGCAGGCATCTGAGCATATCACAAATAAGCTTAGATATACAAGCTCTGTAACTTCAAAGTCCCATACAGCTTTTACCTCTACTTTGCACGCAGACCATTGACCGTATTTCCATCGATAACAAGGTTTTACTGGACAGGGTTTGAACTGCTCCATCTGAGAAGGACAAGGCCTCCCATCACCCTGAAATGGCTGGTTTATGGTCCTTCTTCTGATCATTTTTCCTGTAAATAAGAAACAGTGATATAACTAACAACAAAGTGGTTAGACTGATTTACTCCTCAGGACAGTTCTATTTTGGTGAAAAGTGGTGTGTTTGAATAAAGTAATGTTTTTCACATTTCACAAAGTGGATTGTAAAGCAGATCTGTTGGCTCTTGTCTGTTATACGGATATTTTCCGAGTCAGACACTTTGTTTTCTATCATTTTTTTGTCCTGCAAGAAGTGCAGAAGGATGTCTGATGAGGATTTCAGATTGTTTCTGTAACAGCAAAAATAAAGTAGTAATTTCCTAGTTCAGAAGCCTGGGGAAAAATACTCTTTCTGATCGTGACAATATGTTCATGGCACTTCAGTGGAGATTTCAGTTCCTCATCTGGAGTTTGCTGCTAGAAGAGATCAACATGTTGTATTCTTCCCTGAGTTAATACAGAAACACATCTCCCATGATTGTCTGATTCCAGCAACCAGGAACTGCTTGCAGCTTGCCCTCACTGTCTGTCTGGATAATGTGACATGCAGATTTTGCAGAATATGAAGGATTCTTCACTCAGGCCCAAAGAAAATTAAAATAAAATAGGCTTATACAAAATAAAACTTCTCTTCAACCATGAGTAACACGCTACCTGGCATCTCTGAGATACAGATTATATTTCAAATACTTATATAAACAGAAAACGAAAGACATTCTTACCCTTTTGACAACTCTTGCTTTTTTCCTCTTGCAGTGGACATTAGACCATTATGCTTCATTACAGAGGGGTCATGTGATGTAACCAAAACACTTATTATGTGCCAGAAGCAGTTGTAAAGTGGCTGCTAGAGTTGGCACCTCACAAAAGTTTCCACAAAACCAACACAGCTGTTATATTTTAATCTATATACAGATAAATATATGAAAGAAGTCTGAAATAAGATGTATATAAATTTGTATACTGAGGCTTATAATAAACTAAGGCATTACATAGATTTACCTACACCCCGTGTTAGCTGGCCAAAACAATTCACCTTAAATTCCATATTTCAATCTGATGCATTTGGAATTGAACACCCTAATGATCATGACATGAATCTTTTGCTGAGAGCAAGCTACACAAGCCATGATGCAGCAGCAGAACTGTATCAGTCTCCCAGACAGCTGTGTTCACTGCAGCTAGCTAGAAAGATGTTTGCCAAGTGGAGCCTCACCATTCTTAGATTCACAGCTGCTCCAACTGAGATGTCACAGGAGAAAAAAGATTTTCTTGAAAAGTACTGGAGATAAAGCCCCAAAGAACAGCAACAAGCAGAATTCTTACATAAATAATTCTTCCACTTATAGTTCTTCCTCAACTGTATGAGTATTTGCATGGATGTACAAGAGTGACCCCCAGCTTTGTGGTCGCTGGGTTTAATAGATGGTTATCATCATTGAAAGACAGCAGTTACTTCCAACTTTCTGCCTTACAAAAAAATTACAGCTTCAAGACTTACCTGTGAGGTTGCCATCATCTGTTAAAAACACTGAAAATTTAAAAACTGTTTTACGTTACTATTTAAAATAAATTTTGTCACTTCTACAAATAAATTCTACACTTGGAAAGCACAGGGATTTCGGATAGTGATGCACCTTCACGTTTTGAAAAAGCATAGAAACCATATTCTCATTCAGAAAAATATCAGGTCAACTGTTCAGGTCTTGTATAAAAACAGAAGCTTGTAAAAGAAAATCTGGCAACATTTTTAAGCCTTCAATAGAGTTGTTTGTTCAATTCTCACTCTATAAGGATTATTTTGAATATAAAGTGTAGATTATTTGAATGTAGAAGTCATGCTTTGAGGCGTAATGTCAAGAACTGAAACATTATTACATTATTAGGTACTGCAGTATGAAATTATTAAATGTTATCATTCAAAAATCCATAGGTCTTTCTGTTAGGATCCTGAGGTGGCCAGAGCTTTCAGATGTTTATGCCTAGACCTTTTCCCCCATGGTGCACTCTCCAAGGAACACAAAACTATGGTGGCTAGCAACATTTTGGAAAAAAAAAAATAATGTGTTCACAGTGAAAGTAGCTTGTCCCCCCCGCCCGTGTTCTGTGTTTAAAAATATGGAATTCTGTGGTGAGTAAATTTGTTGGTTTCAGTCACTGTGCTCTTAACAAGTTTAGTTATTCTAAACTCGCCACTCATGAAACTTCAGACGAAATCCCTCCCTCCTCTTCCTCCCCCCACCAGCTGAAAAATATTCACATCAGTGTTTATTTTTGTCTCCATGTATCATTCATCGTATCTCACTTAGTTCCTGTAGTTGAAAACTATTCTGGGCCAAATTCTCATGATCTTAAGTGAGTATAGTCTCGGACAAGCATATTATTCCCATGAATAAGGCTGATTTAGATGCCAGTCACTCTCCCTAGCTAGCTACATTGTCTACTTCTGTGAAGAGATATTATTGTTTTTATTAAAGAAAAAAAATAAATAAAAAAAAAGGAAAAAAAGAAAAAAAAAAAAACAGGGAAAAAAAAGGCAAAAAGAGAAAGCTCAGTATTTAAAATATAAAGGTACATACTGACCTGTAAGGCCACATGTTTGAGAGCACTCAGACCAAGGGGACCAGTCAGACAGCTGACAGTTCACAGGACATTCCACTACACAGGACATATTCATTTGCCATGTCTTCTCCAAACCAAGCTAAAAGAAAATATTTAACAGTCAGCACGTAACACCCAGTCTGTGTCACTGGTGGAGGGTATGCATTTGGACATGGTGAATCTGAGACAACTAAAGTTTTAAGCAAGCATGAAGTCATTACTAAATAAAAAGTAAAGCAGTTCGGATGAGTAAAAACCTCCCATCAAGACTGTCCTAATGCTGATTTTTAAATACATACTTAAATGCTATTTTTGTCAATTATTTTCTAAATTAGAGCCTATAAATGGAGGGCTTCAGCTCTACAGTATTACTTTACACAACAGGTAAAGGATGAAGTAATTTGTGAAGTATCAGTATTTTGAAATAGGAATATAAAAATACTGAACTATGAACAGCTATTAACAGCTGAATTCAAGTGATGCTAGGAGCCAGCTTCAAAACTAACAAAAGGAGGAGGATGAACATGCATTGGATAGTAAGTTTAGAGCTGAAGAGAGACTGAACAAGTTAATGGAAGAGAAACCTGAAGGTTTAAACACACAGGAACCACAGGGGGCAAATGCAGTCCAAGAGCTGAAAACAGGTAGAGGCTACGAGAGCAGTAGATGGAAACTCGTGTATGTCTGTCCTCCTTACTCTTCCTTAGGCATCTGCTTACGCCTCTCTCATTTTTTTTCCTAATGTGGTGTGTAAGTTTATTGTATATATTATGCCATCCATACTATTGTATGGAAAAATATTGACCTGATAATGATTTGTTCTAAATAAAATATAGCTTTGCATGTTTGTCTGAAAAGCTTTGCAAAAAGTAGAATCCTCCAACACTCCTAAAGTAAAAGCTGCCAATGCTGGAGGAGTATGAGAGAAGGGGACACAGAAAATACATCCTGTACTGAGCTTTTTCGTGGGCAGGAGTCAGCCTAACCCTAACAAATGTTGGAACCTCCACAGGGAAGGCAGAGTATTATGGCCATGCTTGCAGACAGCACAGTGGCTATGTGGTACTTTGGTCTGATCCTGTAAAGCCCATTCTATTCTTATAAACTCCCATGCTCCAGATATTCCTCATCCAAGAAAGAAAAGAAATATTCTCACTAACCGACATGAGAATATATGATGCAAGATGGAATACAATTGATGGCAAAAATATTAGCAAGACAATAATAATCCCTGCACCCTTACAGCTTCAGAATGAGTTAAAAGGATAGGTCAATGATAAGTGTGTATGATATGAAACGTGCAAGAAAATTATTCCTGTCAATATCAACACATCTGTAGCTTCCCAGCATAAAGGACTGTCCTCTTCATTGGCCCTCACCAGTGGACCTTAGTCATCATTGAGGCCTTTCAGAATCCCAGGAGGCTGTGGATATCTTTAAGTAGATAAAAACCCCACATAGTTTAAAAAAAACAAAGCAAACTAGACAATTCAAAACCTATTAATTTTAACAATTGGAAAGGTTAATGACATAAACCCAGCAGTTAAAGACTTTAAAAAGGAAATAAAAACACTATTTCCTATTAAATGCAAGCATAGAGCAATAATCAGGCAGAACATTAACACGTCCTCCATAAATAAACTACCACAAGTACTGGAAATGTCTAACCCTGACAGACTCACCAAGTCTTAAATTTGCATTTGCAGTACCATTTATTGAGACAAATGAGGTTTTAGACCTCTGTTTCGCAGATCAAAGAATGAGCTCTTGGCTTTTCTCTGTGGTACAGCGTAACCCTGATTGTCCATCTATCACACACAGACAACACCTGAAACCTTTGGATAATCTGGAATTTGGATAATTAGGAAACTAGAGAACCGTCTTTGAAGTCTATATTTGGGTCATATCTTCTGAGCAAAGGCTTTAAAGCCTGCTGAATTGATTCCTGCCAATTATAGAAACACAACTGCTCTCTTTCAAGACTGGCCATTCTCAGCTGGACTTTGGCAGCTAGAGAAGGAAAAGCCTAAGAGAGTTATTAAAGGCGAAGAGGAGAAAGCTGAAGGCCAGATTACCCACAGCAATCTGCCGTTTGCATGTCTTAGATACTGAGGTGCTGCTGAAATAGATTTGAGGAACAACTGGTCGGCTGCAATTTGATATTGACCACGTATTTTTTTCTCTTCCCTCACCTTCCTTCAAATGACGAGCTGGAATTCACCTTGCAGAGCTGAGAAAACATTTGGAAAAGTGTTCAGTAGCTCCCTCACCCAAAAGAATCTCTGTTCTGGATGAGTTGTGGTTTCTGATTTGAGAATAGCAGGTACTGGAAGAGTTACACTGAAAGCTACCGCTGAGCGCCCTGTACAGTAGGCTGCCAGACCAGCATGCTCTATAAACCCCGTGATCCACAAAAAGTATCTGTATTTGTTTATAGGAATGTTTGGCACTGCAGATTAACCTCTGCTGGAGGTTAATCACATAATCTGACAAGCAGACTATTTGCCAATAAAACAGAAAAGTTTGCTTTCTAATGCAGACAAAATTGCTGGTTTCTAGGCTTTTCTGATCTTTAATTGAAGGTAAATGAATAAGAATAAGCCCATAAACATGAATATGACCAGGACCAGCTTGCTCTAGGTGATTTTGTTTTCAAATACTCAGGGAAGAGACAAGCCAAATTCTTGTGATGTGCTAATTTTGTAGAGTTAGAGATCAAGTAATCCAGTATTACTGTGCCTTGAGAGTTTGAAGGGAACCATGTTAACATAACGAGGACTTGGAAATAAGCTCTAGAAATTAATTTATCCTGGCAGTAATCAGGATGACTGGGTTGCTTCTTTAGCTGATTGACTGAAACAAACACAAGATCATATGGACATATTAGGGAACCAGAATACAGGCGCTCAGAAGAAATGTTAGTATTTGACTACGCTGATGCTCATACCTGGAGATGGGGATAGTCAGAAGACAGTATGTATGGGATGTTTTATATATGGCTTTTATTAGTTTCTTGAGCCACACATTATATAGGAACTCAGACATTGCAATCAGGAGTGTTCATTTCTTAGGGATTAGGATAGATTTAGCTATTCTGATCTCTCTTCTTTGCATATAATAATAAGAATCATAATTCTGTTAATGTATCTACACATAAATTTAACAAAACTTTTGTTTTATCACATATCTAGTATAAGATTTTATGATAGCCCAGGGGAAATTCCATTAGCTAAGTCATTACAAAATTATTTCATCTTTCTCTTATCATCAATTTTCTAACCATATGCACCTTATTATGAAGTTCACTTAATATTTCTCCACTGCCCTTATAATACAAAAACACAGCAAAAAAACCCACCCTGAAGGATCATCTGTGATTAGATTGGTAAGAAGTGCATAGTATGTATTCACATTTTGATAATTTCTTGAATACTCTCATGACCCAGAAGGTCACAGAGTTGGCTTTTACGTCTTTAGAGTGAGGTGTCTAGTAAGATCTGAACAGCTTGGCTTTCTTCTTAATCAGGTTAACAGGTTTTACTCCTCACAGTTATTGGATCTGCTTTTGACCTTGTTGTACCACTGCTTACACATTCATAATTCAACAAATAGTCTTAACAGTATGAGTGGGGAGTGGAACAGAGCTTTCTACAGGAAGATGTATCTCTATCTGGTCTAGCAAATCAAAAGGGCAAATAAGACTGTATCACACTGGTTGCTGATAAAGCCAAGACCCCACTGCAATGATGTCTATTGGCCAGTCACTGACAGCAAGTAGCTTTTGAGATATTATCCTGTCCTAATTATCTCTCTCAGTAATAAGCTTTCATTTTTTAAAAGCAGGAAAACTCCAGAGGTTTTCTCCAATGAGATTTCAGTGTAAAATGTAATCATTTGTTCTAAATGTTGATTGAAATCTTTGGTTAACAACAGGAATAATTTCTTGGCTTTATGGTAAAAGAAATATACTTCCCCTTAAAATCTAGTAAAGCATATTTTTTTCTATTGAAATATTCATGTGGATGGATATTTTATATCATGTCTTGGTATGAATTAATCAATATTGTAGTCTCTTACAAATAACCCAAGAGCCAATTTTTTTTTTTTTCTTTTAACGCATTAAAACATTAACAGAATGCATTAATGCATTCCTGTATTAACTTCACAGAAACTTGTTGGTAGGTAGCCAGATCCTGTGTTTTTCCCTGAGACATAAATGATCAAATTATTAGATTTGCTTATAAACCCAAGGGCTACATGTAAAGGAGGAACTTGGGACAAAAGTAGGGTGCCAGCCTCAGCTGAAACCTCCTGCCTTTTGATAGAAGGGATAATAAGAAACGTGAAACTTTAACAAAGTAGCTTTAATTATATTTTCTAGTTGTTAGTAGCTTTTATTATTCCATTTTGTATTCTTGCATGCGTAATAATCCAGTGCTGTGACTGCTGAGAACTGCGGCGTGTAAGCTACAAGCCCTCAAAAGAAAAGGAGGGATTGATTCCTGGGAATGTAGTGAATGTAAAAGAAGTAGTGGATATAGATAGAAGTTATAACTTTAGGTCATCAGAATCATTGCACACAGATTAATTAAAACCAAAGTAAGTTTTGGTTCTTTGTTAATAATCGGGAAGCTTGTAAGATAAGAGGCTCCTGAATAAACCCACTTAGACAGCTTGGCCTTGGGAGAGCAAATGCGCAGAACCATGAAGATAAGGAGGCACCAAGATGACCAGAAGACTGGAACAAAACAATCTTGAAGGACACAGTATACGTGATCTCAGAACTGAGTTTGGGCAGAAAGAAAGGTCAGCCAGCAGACACCGTGAAGAACCCTGACGACCAGCTGGAGGTGCGAACAGACAAGCATGAAAGACATTAACATATGCTAAATAGTTCTCGGAAAAGCCATGAATATGTTAAGCATTTCTCAGAAATATAATGAATATGCATATCGTGATTGTATTTAACCTGAAATGAAAGGGTGTTTGGCGAACATGTTTGGAGGAGAGATCCCCGTGTGCCCGGTGCCGTAATAAAGGATACCTGCTTAACAGTATACATTGTACTGTTAGGTTATTACTGGATCTTCAAATCAATTTGCTAAGAACTTTTGGGTTCAGAAATGTCAGAGGGGGTTGGAGAAGCCCAAGAAGGTCAGAGATACCATTGCAAAACTATAGATCAAGGTACATGCTGGTTTCCTGACTCCCTCCACTCCTGAAGAGACTCTTCTCAATGGGCACATCCTGAAGAGCAGCTGTTAGCCAGGAAGGTCCAACAGAAAAGCTGTTGGTATCAAAGCTGCTGTGGAGCCCACTCCACCTTAGCCCCCCATTGCACGTGGTTTTGTTTCTGATGTTAAGGTGGTGGGGGAACAGCAGCTGAAACAAGTTCAGATAATTTCCCTCAGAAATGCATGTAGGATTGCCCTTAATGCAACACTTGTGTTGTCTTCCCATTTTCCTTCCCATTACTATCTCCATGCAATTGAAAACATTAAGGCCAGCACAAAAAATACTAGGAAACCAGTACTGTCAAATTTGAAGTTAGTTTGAACATTTAAAAAGTGGCTCCTTCAGAATTTAAGGGCTTGTGTTTGCTGGTTAGTTTTCCATATATGTTTCTATTAATATTTCACTTATTCTGCACATTTTTTCACACTGGCTTGGGTATCTTTTGCATTGCACAGCTGGATACAAGAAGTTAGTATTCAGCCCAGCTGCAGAATGGCACGTGAGAAATATTTTCCAACACATTGAGTAAATGATTGATACTGGCAGCTGTCCAAGGCTCTATGCAGGAATTGTATCAAATTAGAATGATGATTAGTGTTCTGATTAAGATTTATTACCTTTATTCTACTTTATTAATTTTTTTTTCTAAGTCATTTCCTTCAGGACATAATAATTAGCATACATTCACAGAGGCACTTAAAAGTAACCGAAGGAAATAGTATAAAAATCACTGTTGATGGCACAGTTCATTTCAGAGGTACTTAAAAATCCATGAATAGTGTTGCAAAACATCTGGTGAGGATGGGTTACACACCATATTGCTCAGTTGGCTCAGCATTAATTAGCACCTTTAGAAGGGAGCTTACTCACAGGTACCCACTCACCTCTTCACAGTACTTCAGGTCAACCGATTTGCCATCACTGCGCACACAATCGAGCATCCGTGTTTTGATACCGTTACCACAGACAGCCTTCTCGCTGAGCTGACACGTGCTCCAGTCTGGAAACAAGAAATTCATTAGTGTAGCAGACATTTTAGACAAAACCCATAATGATCCAGTCTCTCTTCTAATTCTGATGGCCTAAAATAATCTTCACAAGCAACTTGTACACATGTAAAGGCTCATGAAGCCCAGCTGCTACACATTTATGGAAACAGTCACTGTTACTGCAAATAGTCAGTGCCATGATGCCTTCCTGAAAAGTTCATATTCGGTTTCACCTGCTTGAATTTTGAACAAATTACAAATGATCATAGAAATAAACTTCCTGGAGCTATTAACATGCACGCTACACCCAAGTTGCAATGTCTTCAGTAATATTTTATCTGGATTAAACAGCCTGAATCAGTTTTCAGTACAAGCTCCACAGCTTAAGAACAGATATCCACAGATCTCTTCTCTCCACAGACAAGAACACAAAGCTGAAAAATCTGCCCTGTAAGGCGAATGGAACTAAGCCATAGTCCCAAGCTGTCACTGGATCATAGTACCACAAATACCTGTCACATTGTAGTCATAGTGGTAGCAGTTCTTGTTCAAAGTGCAGACTTCTGTCTCGGTGGCAGCAGGACAAGACTTTCCATCATCTGGTTGTCTCAGGGATTCAGCTGACCTTTCACGGACACTACTTCCATTGCATGGCTTGAAAGGGAGATTGGAAACAGCTTTGATATTTCAGCATCCTGACGTCTTTTCATGCAATATTATAACAACCTTTCAAGCAACCTCTTCACAGAATGCAAATGTAAAATAACAGGCTCACGCTGTTGCCTAAGAGAAACCATCTCCTTGTTATTTCAGAGAGAATCTAGTCTGCTGTTTCACTTTGTTAGTGTCCAAGATGAAATATCTTCTAACTTGCTAAAACCCTGATACTTTCCTAACTAGTTAACATTTCAGTACTAGGACTTTGAAACCATTTCCTTCATAAACTGGATATTCAGATGCTCACTTTCCAAACACCATACTATAGTGCACCAGAGACCAAATACTCAGAGGTCCTGAAATATTTTTTTATCTTTGGGTTTTTTTTGACATTTGGTTTGGGTTTTTTTGACATTTCTTTTTGTGATTGGTGGCAGGAAGGGGAGAAGAGACCCAAAATTATCTTTCCATGCTCAGCCTTGATCTACAGACTTTTCACAAGATACTGACATTTTTAGTGCAGCGACTGCACTGCTATGGAAAAGCTCACAGCTAGGCTCAAAGATGGGCTCGCAAGCCACTGCCAAAGCTATGCCACCACACAGGACCCACCCCACACTGAAGAATGACCACCAAAGACATTATATTTTGTGTTTTGGAACAATTTCACATAATAGAAAATAGTAGCACACTTTATTTGCACCCAACTATCAATGACCCTAAAAATGACAGTAAATATAGATACTTACATATGTAATCACTACTCAATCCAGTATCTTTGCACAATACATCATATACACAATTTTAAAGTATCCTTCTAAAATGAGAAACATTACAGTTTGGTACACTTCTTACCAAAGAACATCGAGACCATGATCCCCATTCTGACACAACACAGTCTTCAGGACATGGTAATGTGCATTTTCTAGCACCAAGTGGCATCTCTTCAGGATCACACAGATAATCCTCTACTGTGTCAGAAGGACCATCCACAGTGTTCAGCATGCACCTGGAAAAAAGAACTGCACATAAACTGCATTTGCCGTGGATTTTGGACAGTAACTATGTTCCACAGTATTCTGAAGCATGTTAACATTTTCTCAGCACATAAAAATCATGAAGTAACAGAAGTAACAGAACTAAGTATTGATCTATGAATAACCAAGAAATGCTGAAGAGCCAAAAATAATCATGACATAATCATGATTATGACACCATACATTACTGAGAATAACATCAAATTAAATACAGCCATGACTGAAAGTGAGGGTTCTTTAAAGTGAAGGAGGAGCAATACTGTTTTACCTGACTTTCCTTGTTTGAACACCTTCTCCACAGTTCTCTTTTAAGTCCACATTGGTCACCTTGCAGACGCTCCAGGGCTCGGTAACCCATACATACTGGCTGCAATTACTGTGGCAGGGGACCACTTCATATACCTGGAATCCACATCAAGCATCAGTTTTGTTGTGCATAAGTAAGATAAACATGCAACAGCGATCATACAAAAAAAAAAGGTTTATGCTCTTTTTGGTAAGAATTACAAATATAAACTTGCTGGTTTAGAGGCTGCAGCAGTAACACAGATAAAATACTTGATAGAAAGCTACAGAAATTGCAAAAAGTCAGAAACTATGACATCTAATGACAGATTTCCCGGTTTTCTCTGCCACTAAGACCATGCTATGCCATTTCCACCAATAACATCAACACAACTAACATAAAATCTGTCACTAGGGTAGCTCACAAGTATGCCTTTCAGAAAAATACTGCTAAAACTCTGCTAAAAATTTAATTCTATCCTTCACGTCTTTCCTTCATTATTCCATCCCACTGTTATGAGTTGTGGGGTTTCTGTACTTCTAAACAGAGGTGAGCTCAAGGTAAATGATATCGATATATACCGGATTACTTTATTTTTCACTGTGGATACTTAAAATCAATCTAATATATTCATGCACCAGCATTGGTATTATGTTTAGATTTGAATACAGATTTTAAATGGTATCTCATAAGGTAATTTATACAGTGATCCATGTATTTTCTCAAACATACACTACAAAAAAAAGGACAGAAAATGTAAACATTGGAGCACAATCAGGAAGCACATGTTAAGGTTATCTCTCTATTTTAGAAACTCTTACCTGAGCCTGTAGAAAGTATTTTCACGAACCCAAAAGAAAAACCAAAGATAAAAAGAAAGAATGATTAGAGTGAAGCATAGGTATTTAAAATAGCATTCATTTAGCTTTTATTACAAACATATTCTATGACTTCTGCCAAGCAAAAGGCATCCAATTTTTTCTCTTGCATCTCCTTTGCTGTTATGAGGCATTTTTGCAAGAAGCTTGCTCTTGGAGGAAAATAAAAGTTTATAAATCACAACTAGTAGGAACAGACTGTAAATTAGCTAGTCTCTTTCTCAGTCCCTAACACACTATAAAACTGTTTTCCTTTTTTGCCTGTAATGAGCATCAACTCTTCACACAGTAGGGAATCCAGTTTCCCTAAGACAAGAGGAATTCCTCAATGGTTTTGGAGTGGGTACTGGACTTCTCTATTAATTGAAATTGTTCTGACAGCTTTAAGTGCAATAGATACAGGGGAATAAAAGGAACTGGCAGTCGTCACCCTTCCAAAGTTCCTAAGTCCTTCACTGAGTATCTTAATTATGCATAAATTACTTAAAGCCCATTGCCTCAAAATTATCTTATACAAGCTAACTTCACATATCATTCTGGGTATCAAGTCAGCACAACTAATTTTTCTAGAAAATACAAGGCATTGTCTTAAACAAGCTGTTAATTTCTTTTCAGCAACACTGACTGGGTAGAAAAAGAGGGCTGGTGGCTTAATAATATATCAGTTAATCTGCAACAAACTACCACTAGTCACAAAAAAAAAATGACTTGAACAATGAATGCATAGAGACCCTGATACATCAACGTGCAGCTGATGAGCCCACACACAAGAAGACCAGCATAGTCAGCATATTTGGGCCTTCTTTGAACTAGATAAGCATTAACTCAGGTGTAAAGATGCGTGGTGTAAATGCATGTTAAGGAAGGTACTGTACTCAGTGCACTACTTGTAGTCACATGGGAAGTGACACTTTATTTATTCTTGTCCAGGATTTCATAAATGAGAATAGGGAAGGCTTAATTTAGGGAAACGTCTTTGGATGTCTCATCCTGGTTGTCATAAGAAGAAATACATAAACCCGACATATTCAACAGCCTTTCCAGTAACATAAAAATTGGATATCTTGCCAGAAAGCCAAAGGAGAACTCTATTTGCATGTGTTTAGTGGTGCTCTGCTGACCCTACTGGCATTTTTGTAACTATGACTGCAGGCCATGGCAGCTGGGTGGTGTAATGGTTGCATACCCACCTCCTGGGTAAAGGGGCAATAGTGCCTGGAGCCAATGACGAGAGGGATGTCCTTATTTTGTCTAACAGTCTCAGATTAGCCTCTTCATCTGAAATCCTCTGAAGGCCATTGACACAATTTTGTAATAAACCTGACTCTATTATTATTGTAATCATGAAGAATTTTAGCCTAGTGAAGCGAGTACTGAACATGCTTCATTCAGTTGGAGTGTGGTTTTTGAGTCACCCTGGCATGCATGGCCCAGAAGCAAAGAAGCTCAATGAGGCATCTAACACTCACTGTGTTCAGTCCCCCTCCAAAATACAGTCATACATGTCAGCCCTAAGAGATGTTGAGCAACTTGCTCTTAAAACTTGACAGATGTCTTAAGCAGTTTATTTCAGTGTTTCACTAGCCTTACCGTTAGAAAGTTTTCCCAAGGCTTAACCCAAATCTGCGTGCAGCAGTCTAAGCCTACTGCTTTTTATCCTATCCACGATGGCCATGGAAAATGGATTATTTTCTCCTTCTTTGCAGCAGTCTTTTACGTATGTGCTAGCAGGCTGCCAGCATGCTCCCTCCATCTTCTCTTCCATAGGCTAGACAGCGCATTGTAGTCTTTCCTCAGAGTTCATTATTCCTAGATCTCAATGTACAGCATAGCTCCTCTGTACATCATCTTCCACACACTTGTGGGCACCAAAGATCCAGTCTAACCTTTACGCTTTGTATGTGTGCAAACAAGCATGTTACATATATAGGTAACAAATAGATAAATAAAGCAAAACACATTTAATAACTGAAATAAATATTCCGAAGAGTCAGTAGTCTTCCATCTGAATGAATGGTAGATCACATTTAGATTAAATAATTAACTCAAAAGTAGAATGCAGGTGTATTCCCTGCACGTTTCTGAATTGACAGTGAACGTATTTAAAATTGAAAGATACAGCCTCTATATTCTTCAACATTTCTATGTTATACATAGAGCTCCCTTCTCATGAAAGTACTATATTTCAATTATATTTTTACAATAATCACAGTTTGAATCATCTATTATTATTTGGCAAGCACCATGTAACATTGCAACAAATCAAATCTGAGTCAAAGTACCGGTAGAGGGCAATAGTGTTGCATACAAGTGGCTAACAGACCTCTAGCAAAATCACCTTTGATGCAGAAAAATACGAGCCCATTATGTACTACATGAATATTAAAGCAGGAAAAAGACTTCTGTATAGACTATAATTTGCTCCTATTGAAACACATTCCTCCTAATTTAAAACATATTTACATGCTGACCCAAACCTGGCAACCCTCATTCTAGTTTGTATTTTGTTGAAGTAGATCACAAACTTAGTTTATTAGCTGCAGTTTAACACTTATTATTTTCTAAATTAGAACTAATTGCATTCCCTAAAGTAGAAAATTAGATCAACAAGCCATTTCACTCTGTGCTAGCAAAATGTCAATAGGATAATATTAAGTACATGCACTTTTATTCAAATGTAAATAGCACTTTTTTTTTTTCAATCTTTGAATATTTACAGAGAAGACTGTGTGGCTGTTTAACATGCCTCCGCAGACTAAATTAAATTCAGCACTAATACGAATATAAATCAACACTGAAGAGCGGAAGTTAATTGACAAGGAAGGTTTTTCTTTCTAAAAGTCTCCAAGCAAATAGAAGCAAACAAGGGGTTTGACTTGGAGCAGTGCTAAACTTGGTCCCAAAGACTAAATGCTCACTAGTGGTCAAAGCACTCCCAGTGCGCTCTTGGATCACATCTTCTGGCTTAGTTTCACTTGAAGAGGATCCAGACTGTGCAGCCATACTGCTCCATACTGGAAAATCAACAGCAGTTAGTGGGATAATCAGCAGATTGATTTCAGAAGTGAATACCTGACTGGAACTGCAGTGTCAGGGCAAGTGTACCCAGAAGGTCAAAATCATGACAAAACCACACTAAGGGACACTGGGATGATACTGTGTGAGTGTTTGAGAAGTTTTAATTTACCTTCTGATCTAAGATGGTCAGGGAACGACACTAAGAATCTGACCAGCTTGAGCATCCGTAATGAGACATTTTACTCATTGTAAGAGAACTTTAGAAATGTGGTCTTCACTATTTGCATCTAAGAACGTTTTATTGTCTCCAGTCTGCAGTTCAGATAATTTGCTAAGTTCTTGCAGATGAGGAAGTAATGAAGGCAGAGCCTACGCTGACTGAGGAAATCTAAGCCAACACATTCTCCTCCTTCTACCTGCATCTGCCCCTTATGTTGTACAGTTTTTCTACACCAAAAAAAAAAAAACAGCTAAAAGGGTTATTGGAGGTATGGAAAAAAGCAATATCAATAATGTAAATATAAGTCAAATTACCTGATTGACATGATCTAGCTTTGGACAAGGTCTTCCACCATTGTAGGGTTTTTCACGGAGCCATTTAGACCGAACCTTTACCCCACTCCCACAGGATTTACTACAGCGAGACCAGTTGGACCACTCGCTGAGCTTGCAGTCTGAGGGACATGGAATAATACAGGCTTCCTCAATATAACCTGTGTGAATGGAAAAGAAAGTGAAATCTCTTCAGCATGTCACTCTGCCACTTCTCCCTGAAGCCCTCGTCTACTTCATTTAGGTTGTCCAAAGTTTGACTTGACAGGACTGTGTGAATAGAGAGATTTCTTCATCATTAGAGCTAAATTAAATTCTGCAGAAAATTGACACATATAGCTGGAGACTGTGTTAGAGTAGCAGCTGAGCATCCTCACTGCTATCTGATTAGAATTCACACTTGCCAGATTTCAGCATTCAAACTTTCTGACAGCTACAGTGTAATTGACACTAACCATCTATTGGTTGCATCATTCTTACACTGGAAAAACAATATTTATTTTTTAAGGAAAAAACGTTTAATTAAAAGCTCCTCCATGACTGCATCAAGTAATTCAATTTCAGTTATACATCAAAAATCCAACCAAATCAAAAGATATGCATCTTACCAGCCTGGAGCGAGGGAACTTAACACCTTGTAACCTTTCTAAGACTAGAAAGAGAGAGCGGCCTGCCACATTAATGATCTGCCGATTAACAACCATCTGCCCCCAGTAGCACACTGAATAAATGCATTGAATGGAAAAGCAGATGTTTGGTTTGGATAAGTCATCAGTCCTGAGAGGCTGGAAAGGGGTATGACATGGTCTGCAGGGAGTAACTTGAGGCCTCAATTCACTGAATAAGAGAAAACATCTTTCTTCCAAAAGCAACATATGCCACAGCTCTGCAATATGTGTCATTTATGCCAATATTTACAGCAGCAGCTATAAAACCATAAATAAAAAGCTGGCCTTTAATGCATTTTTACTACAACTATACCCTAAACATATATGAACTCTACTCTCCTGTTTCCTGTGTCAGATCTGCAATATAGTTACTGTTGGCAAATGTTCCCTTTAAAGACTGAAAAAACTTCAATGTATTTAAAAGTGATTTAAAGTATTTGATGAACACAGTTACAGAATGAACACATAGTTGGGTAAGATCCTTCTCAAATGATTGGCACAGTTTGCTAGGCATGGTTTCAAATGTTTCTCAAGCATTTTGAATTTTTTTCAGTTTGAAAGCAATCATTGTCATTTTCATCAGAGCTGATGTTAGCAGCTTTATGTTTATATTTTTTATACCTATACTTCTAAGTAAAGATATTCTGTCTCCTCTAGAAAGCAACCAATACCAAATAATCACAAGTTGTGTAAAGAATCAAAACATTTTAAATATTTCTATTCTATATGCCTATTTCTACTTGCTTCCATTAATTTGTTTTTGTCATAAAGAACAAAGAGTGGATTTTTTAATATACAGCAACGTTCAGAATATTTTATGGTCAAATCAGGTGATGATTTTATGCTGAATAGCTTTCCTCTGTTTGGAAGCATTAAATAGTAACTAAATATACAGAGCATATCCTGAATTTCAGCACTGCAGAACTACTGTTCACCAAATATATCTCCCTTAAAATGGCTAGAATGTTATTAGCTTGAATTACAAGCATGTTAAATCTTTCTTGCCATTTGATTGATCAGCTCAGTGATATTGTATGAAAAGGACACTGTGTTAGACAAAATATATTTTTGAAGATCATATCACCGCATATCAGAAGTGGTGACATAGATTGCTCTGGAGTAGTAAATGCAAAATTGATTACATTTCACCTTACCTGAAATCTCTGAGTGAGTCTTAGAAATCAGATGCACTCTATCTCAGAGCCCCATCCTACACTGAAGTTTGATTGCATAAATATGAAATTCTGCATCTTCACCAGAAATGAGCTTTTAACAAGCCCTCTTAGGTGCTATACAAAACCATATAATTATACAAACAAGAAACAACTGAATGAAAATGGACAATAACAAAAAGTTGAAAGAAACAATTTCCTGCAAGCAGTCAAATAAGTGTTTAATGATATTTATTATCTGACAGAATTAAGTGAATATTTTACTGCTCTTTATGAATTTTATTGAGATTCTGAAATGCTGCCTTTACTTTCAATATAACGTCTAAGTAATTGTTTTCTGAAGAAACCTTTTTACTATAACATAATTTTGCCACTTAGCATTTGTTAAATTTCTGCCTCTGTAATTAATGTCTGGAAGAAACAAACTCAGGTTGCCTTAAATATATCGTATATCCTTAAATAGGTAACTTTAACCAGTACAGGCTGTCTCAGGAAGACTTTATTTTAAGGACTTCCATAAACCTCTGAGCTATTTTAAATTGTCTTAATCTGAAAGGGATCTTCCCAATCTACCCCAGTCATAGAAAAGGACTTCTCCAGGTATCATGACATTTTGGGACTTTGAAAACTATAGCATGGAAATACTTCATAGCCTACCAAAGGAGTAGAACATACTAGACTAAAATGATTGACAAATTAGAAACTATTTTGCTTTTATTTGCCTTCAGTTCATCCAAACAAGGACAATAAAGATTTTTTTTGAGGTAATGAGAATATTAGCCAAAAAGTTTAACAAGATTTTTAGAATCTTGCAGACAGACACGATATCAAATACACTATATCATACTGCTGTGGTGTTGCCTCAATTTGCCACAACCAACCACGCAGTTACTCTTTCACTCCTTCCCCCTCCCCGGTGGGATGGGGAGGAGAATCAGAAAGAAAAAGGCAACACTCTTGGGTTGGGATGAGAACAGTTTAACAGAGTGGCAAAAGGGAGAAAAAAACAGCAATCATTAATACTGATAAAAAGCATATACAACATGTAGTGTTCTCACCACCCGATCCTTAGCTTGCTCCTGAGTAGCAAAAGCCCCTCCTTCAGCCAGATCTCCACTTAAATAACATTCACATGGTATAGAATATCCCATTTGATTGGCTGTTTGAGTCAGCCCAACCAGATTTTTGTAAAAGTTAACTCTATCCCAGCTGAACCCAGGACATATACGTAAGTGCCAGGTAACATTTTAATTATACTGGGCTGTAGTTCTAATGATTCCATAAAATATCAGATGAAACCATACCACTACAGCAACCTTTTTTTACACTATCTATGAAATAACTATATTGAAGTCAGCCATTAAAATTGCTTTAGCATAGAATGTAATAAAGCCAGAACAGCATCGTATTACAGGTATAGTGTCTTAGTAAGAGTCACAACACAGAAAACAATGAGCTTGCTTATATGTTAGCGCATTTCAGAGAGGATGCAGTGGGTCAGCTGACATTTCCCACCCACTTTATAATGAAAAAATACTGAACTGAAATTTTATACTGGGTCCTTACTCCTATAAGCTTCATGGAATGGCTTCTGCTCACCATACAGCTCTTTCCTATGCCATCTCTAGGATATCTTGCCTATGATGCTCTCCTCTCCCTCCTTCCTATTTCCTCGGAAAAGCTGGCATCAAGACCTGAACTCCACATATGAGAATTAACCAGCTGAACAAGAAGAATAGAAAAGACACATGAAGAAGAGAACAAGAATGGAGTCAATCACTGAAGGCATAAAAAGAAGCTCTACAAGATAGGAAGGCTTGGAGCTACTGGAACTGCGGGAACGTATTTCGAGAGCAGAGAGAAAAACACTTATTATTATGCAAGACAAGCATAAAAAACTCCCAACCACTGGTACACTAAGCATACTGGATAAAAAATAGGTCAAAGACATGAAGAGAATAAAGGGATCCACAAAGGAGTATCATAGCTTCCAAGCCTTCTCCAAAGAGAAGGAAAAGAAAATTAATGAGTGAAGTTACGTTTCATGGCAAAGAGTCAGAAGTCAAAACAACGGAGGAGACACAAGAAAAAAGAGAGACTGAGGGGGAATAGAAGAAAGGGTAAGAAATGACAGGGAGAGGGAAGATGAAAATAAAAGGCTCAACATAGAGTCAAGACAATTGTAAAGACCTACTGCACAGGGATAGAAAACCAAGAAAGAGGAGGAAAGAAATAAACATCCTGCCAAAAGTAATATCTTGGTGAAGCACAAACAGCATGCCATGCCCTCAAGAGCCTAGTCTGCTATCCCCTGACCAGACAGCGAAATGTAATGAAGAATGTTCCCACAGATAAAAATAGAGAAAAAGGGAAGAAATGAAAAAACTGTGGCCTCTGATTTGCATTCTATAGGAATTAGTGTGTAGAATGAAAATGACCCCGTTATATCTGTTATTAAAAAGTTTTTGGCGTATTCATCCCTCGGCATCTTCTTTTCCTCTCGGGCACCTCAATATTCACCCTACAGACTATTTAGCGTGTAGCTGCGCCACTAGACTCCCTTAGAACCCAGGCAGAAGCAGATTTCAAATTGCTTGCAGATACTTCTCTAGCCAAGAAAGAAGACTGAATTAAAATTAAAAATTACTTCTTGCAGAGGACTTTTTCAACTTCATTTACTACCCATATAATGGTACTTTTCAGAAAAAGCTTCTCTGAAGCATGTCATCACCTCAGATCCCTTTCTGTGTGTATGATGTCAACATATCTTTTAGGGTGACTAAGGATGATAATCTCCAGAAGTTCATAGCAACCACCCCTGAAATCCAAGAAAGCAGATGTTCAGAGTTTATACTCTTTCTTTTGGCTGTTTCTGTTAAATTTCAGGTGCTTGTATGGGTAGACTTAGTCCACACCATAAAAATTTTAGCAAGTGAGAAGAAAGCACATTATGATACAGAAAAAAAATACATAGAAAACAGCAACACAGAAACCAGAAATATTAAATGCAAATGGGACTGGTGATGCAGGTATATCGTTTCTGACATGAAACAGACACGAATGAGCCATTTTTCAATTTTCAGTCTTGTTTCCACTCTGTTCTAATTGTCCTTGAAAGGGTGTCCCTTGTGATAGCCAGTGTAAAATCTTATTAAAAAACAGTCCTCTAATGTGTATGTGTGTGTGTCTGTATAGTGGAATATCACATAATTATATCATATAGACAGGTTGTATTATATAATTGCATCAAATGGTATGCTAGAGCCTTGAGGTTTAAAGAACAAACAAGAAATCACCAAGGTAGAAATACAATACATGGAG